TTCCACTGGCCTGGTCCCCGGGGGCCCGCCACACTGACAGCTGCAGTGGGTGCAGGATGCTGACCTCCCTGCGGAGCCAAGGCCCCTGGTTGAGAAGCTGTCGCCTGGATGACACATTTAAAAAAAATGTTATAATTGATCTCAGAGAGGAAGGGAGAGGGAGAGGGCGAGAGACAGAAACATCCATGATGAGAGAGAACCATGGACCGGCTGCTCCTGCACGCCCCCCACTGGGGATGGAGCCCACAACCCGGGCCTGTGCCTGACCACAGGGAGAGACACAAAGCCAAGGGCACAGGGTGGAGGAGAGTGGGGACTCCAGGCAGAGACAGCAGGAGAGGCGGCAGGTTTCCCATTGAGGGAAGAGAACCTGCAGCCTGGGGGGCCGTGAGGGGCCTGGGGGTTCGGGCTGTGCCTGGGGGGTCCATGTGGGGCCTGGGGGTCCGTGTGGGGCCCTCCGTGTAACTATGATGGGAGACATGTTTTTAAAATATATATATGTATTTTTATTGATTTCAGAGAGGAAGGGAGAGGGAGAAAGAGATAAACACATCAATGATGAAAGAGAATCATTGATTGGCTGCCGCCTGCACGCCCCACACTGGGGATTGAGTCCATAATTGAGGCATGTGCCCCAACTGGGAATAGAGCCGTGACCTCCTGGTTCATAGGATGATGCTCAAAACTGAGAACGCATCTCATCCAGAGAACTCCAGCTCCCTTCCATCCTCCTCACCACTCTTGCCATCGTGTGTTAGTTTCCCACCCTATGTTAGTTACCTGATCATAGTTTCTATGTATATAGAAGTAATACACAGGGAAAAGTTAAAGGACTCTTACTTTTCATTCAGTGGCTCTGCCCCAGACCTGCCCTTTCAGACGCTTAAAAATGAGCCTGTTCTCAGGGGCGCTCTGGGCACAGGCGTCCCCGCCCGTGTGGCCGGGAGGTCACGGTCCGCTCCTGCCCACCTGTCCCCGGGGCACACCTTTCCCAGAGGAGGCCTCCAGCACCAGAGGCAGCGCAGGCCCACGGCCCACACCCGCCGGGGCCGCTGGCCGACCCCCTGGCTCTCACCGTTTATCACTCCCCCGGTGACGCCCGCAGCTCACCCTCCGGGAGCAGAAGTTAGCACACGGGAGGCTTCAGTGGTTCAGACTTAGTGCTGCCCACAGTCAGGCTCCATGTTGGCAGGACACCGAGGACAGGGCCAGGGACCGCAGGCCCCCACCAGCTGACCATCCTCTTCCAGGAGGGGACGGAGCGGCAGCGGGCTCCCTGGGAAAGGGGCCCACCCCCATGAGTCACGGTGGGCTCAGGCTCAGGGTCGGGGAGGTGGAGGGTCAGGGTCAGGGTCAGGCTCGGGGTCAGGACATGTGATAAGATGAATCCCCTACCTTCCCACGACACCCTTGAACAAAAGTCAGGGTAAGAGTTCAAGAAAGGGAGTTATATGAAGTCCCAACTTCTGGTTCACAATTTATCCCTGCTTTGGGATGCACTCAGGCTCAGGGTCAGGGTTGGGGTCAGTCTCAGGGTCGGGGTCAGGGTCAGGGTCGGGGTCAGGCTCAGGGCAGGGAAGGTGGAAGGGGGCTGTGGCCGGGTCCTCGGCCAGGTCCTGACCTCCGTGCTCTGTGCAGACATTAATGAGTGTGAAGACGAGCGGAGGCCACCCTGCCAGGCGCCCGCCCGGTGCAGGAACACCCAGGGCGGCTTCCGGTGTGAGTGCTTGGAGCCGTACGTGCTGGGAGACGACGGGCGGACCTGTGTAGGTGAGCCCACCCCTGGGGGCCCCGCCCGGGAGTTACACACCTGGGGCGACAACTCCGGCTGTGCTGGAGCTGAGGCCTGCTTGTCCGCGAGGCTGCGCTCTCCGGGGCTGGGAGGGAGCAGGCACGTCCGGTGACTACTTAGGCCGAGACTGACCCCGGGACCCAGCGCTGCCCTGGGCCTGCCTCACCCCCAGCGAGTTATCCTAGGAGCTCAGCACGGTGCTTCATCCGTGAACAGAACAGAGAGGGTGAGCGACCTGCTCGGGACCACACAGCCCGCAGGCACAGACCTGGGATTCCTAACATAGCTCCTGTAAAGGAAAAACAGCCTGCAGTTACTTGTTAATGGGAAAGACAGATTTATCCACCCTCCCGCAGAGGGGCGGGGCCTCCGTGCAGGCCTGAGCTTAACCCCACGTCCCGCAAAGACCACGGTGCACAGCCAGCGGCAGAGCGAGAGCGCAGGAAAGCAGCAGAGGCACGGTGGGCGCAGACTTGGGACGGGGTCCGGCTCAGGTCAGGTTCAGGTCTGGCTTGGGGTCAGGTCAGGGCTGGGGTCAGGTCAGGGCCGGGGTCAGGGTTGAGGCCAGGTCAGGGTCGGGGTCAGGTCACGCTCGGGGTCAGGCACGCTGCCACTGCCTGGGACCCACGGCTTGCTGACCGGCGGGCTCTCACTCAGACTCCGAGAGGCTCCCGAAGGCGTCCTTGGTGTCCATTGTGCTGGGCGCCCTGCTGGTCTGCGTCCTGGCAGCCGCCACCTGGACGGTGATTTGCAGGTGGTAAGTCCCGTCTTCAGGGACCAGGAGCCCACGTTTTCCCCGTGGAGCCTGGTGACCAGTCTACTAGTCCCCGCCGCGTGCGCCCCCTCTGCGCACAGGAACTTCCCAGTTTTCCCTCATCTCTCCCTTCTCTCCTCACTGTTTCCATTTTTTTGGGTCTCTAATTCCTCTCCTCCTTCTCTCAATATTCTCATCTCTCGTTCTCTCCTCATTCTCCTCATTTTTCTCCTACTCTCTTCATTCTCCCAATTTTCTCTCATCTCTCACGTCTCTCCTCATTCTCTCAATTTTCTTGCATTTCTAGCTTTTCTCCTCCTGTTCTCCATTTTCTTCCATCTCTCGCTTCTCTCCTAATTTTCTCTATTTTCTTGGATCTCTCACTTCTCTCCTAATTCTCTCAATTTTTTCTCATGTCTCACTTTTCTCCTCTTTATCTCAATTTTTTCTCGTGTCTCACTTCTCTATACATTCTCTAAATTTTCTCGGATTTCTTGCTTCTGTCCCCATCCTCTCAATTTTCTTGCACCAATCACTTCTCTCCTCAATCTCCCAGTTTTCTCTCGTCCCTCGCTTCTCACCTCATTCTGTCCATTTTTCGTGGATCTCTCGTTTTTCTCCTCATTCTCCCAGTTTTCGTGGATCTCACTCTTCTCGACGTTCTCACCATTTTCTCTCATATCCGACTTCTCTCCCCATTCTCGCCATTTTCGTGGATCTCTAGCTCTTCTCAGTCTCTCAGTATTCCCCCATCTCTCGCTTCTCTCCTCATTCACTCAATGTTCTTGGGTCTCTCGTTTCTCTCTTTATTCTCTGTATTTTGTTGGATTTCTTGCATCTCTCCTCATTCTCTTTATTTTCTCCTTCTCTCTCGTTTGTTTTCATTCTCTCCATTTCCTTGGCTCTCTCGCTTCTCTCTTATTCTCTCAGCCTCCCCTCATCTCTTTTCTCTGTTTTCTCTCATCGGCCCTGTCTCTTCTCGTTCTGTACGTTCCCTCGAGGCACCGACAGTGACTCACGGGGCTCCGGGAGCCGTACCTGGAGGAGGACAGGGCGCGGGCTGCCACTCACCGTCTGCGGGAGCAGCTGCTACCGTCCTCTCTCTGTTTTCTCTCATCGGCCCTGTCTCTTCTCGTTCTGTACGTTCCCTCGAGGCACCGACAGTGACTCACGGGGCGCGCTGCTCCGGGAGCCGCACCTGGAGGAGGACAGGGTGCGGGCTGCCGCTCACCGTCTGCGGGAGCAGCTGCTACCGTCCTCACCTGGAGACTGTGTCTCCCAGGTCCTCGGTGACGGAGTCTGTGTCCCCACATTGTGACGATTGTTCCTGGGAAGCCGCTCTGTGACGGTGAGGACTCCTCGGCCACGTCCACCAGCCTCCCCTCTGGAGTCTGCAGAGGAGCCAAGGGGGTGAGATGACCCTCAGGCTCATCACCCCCCGTCAGCGAGTGGAGGGCAGCTCCGCATGTCGGGGTCACTCCCACCGAGCCCCATGCCGGCCTCAGGACCAGGGACCCGTCGGTGCCAGCCTCGTGCCCTCTGCTCACGGGGTGGTGTCGGCTCTTCTGCGTCTGTGGGTCCCTGGGGACTGGACTTCTGCCTCGGACACTGTGCTAAGGAACAAGTAAGAAGCCAGCATCACCCCCCCCCCAACACACACACACATACGGGTCCCAGAATAACCCAGCGCCGTGGCTCAGAGTCCTGCAGCGTGTAACTGGGCCGCGCGTGGCCATCATGGGTAACAGCTCCGTGAACAGCCCTGGAGGTCACCCTGAAGGTCACCGTGCCGCCCTTGGCTGGCGGAGGGATCATCGGTCCCCGCGTGGAGGGAATTGGGGTCACAGCAAATTAAGGTTCAAAGAGAGGTGACCACACAGTCACAGGCGACCCTGTGGCAGCCGCTGGCCGCTCAGTGGACAGACTGTCCCCAGAGCCCAATGTCCACGTGGGCTGCTGTTCTCACAAACCCATTCGGGACGCGTGCCCTGTCCAGGGTGAGGACCAAGGCTGGTGTCCCCGGGACAAGGCTGGCCTTCCCTTCATGACACGGGCAGGTGGCGCCACCTGGTGGCTGATGTGAGGAGCGCAGGCATGGCCTGACCCAGGGCCTTACCTTCTGCCCATCATGTCCCCTCCTGTCCCCGCCGGCTCTTCCCACACCTGCCTCTTCTTCCCGGAGACACGGCGCCACCTTGTCACTCAGCCGCCAGCCCCTCCGGGTCCGGTCGGTTCACGGCTGTCAGCGCCAGGAGAGTCCTCTGTGATGAGAGGATGCCATTACCATAGACACGGGGCCCCACACTGAGGTTGAAAGGAAAACCACGATCAGTCCGTAAAACATTTAAGCTGCTGGGTGATTCAGCTTCAACACAACTGCTGATAGAGTTTATGTCTGTCATTTTTTAGATTCCTCTAGGGCCTAACGGTCAAATTTTGTTTTAACGGAATATTCTTTAAATCGTTTTGCATTTGTTTTTAATTTGGAGAAAGAACAGTCTGGATCTGTGGACGCAGCAACACAGATTGTGAACAACAAGAGTAAAGGTCTTACTAAAAACGGCATCATTAACTTTTTCTCACCGCAGTCGTCTGAGAGCTTCCATTTCTGTTGGCATTTCACGTGGTTGTACCTTGTGGTGGAGAAAAGAGCATTATTAAAGCTTCATCCCTTTAGAAAGAAAAAGACGATTCTGCACGTTCTGCATTCTCCACAGGCGACTTGGTCCATTTCGGTCGGCTTAGAGCAAGGCCGGAGGTCAGGCGCACTTACCCCGAGTCGTACGTCTGCCAGGGTGGCTCCCGAGCCAACAGCGGGGTGGAAAGTAACAGTCTGCCTCCCATTAGGGCACAATACCAACGTCTCGGGTTCTCGGTCTGTCAGCAGAAAATACAAAATGCCGTCAGACTGGGCGAAATGTTCGCCAAGGCAACTTGGTAATGAAAACACGGTCGTTTTCGTGTCAGCGCACACGGAGAGGCAGTGGCGTGGGCCCCGCCCAGGGGGAGAGCAGGCGAGAGACCAGGGCCTGCGGGTCCCCGGGCATCACCGTGCCCACACGGCAGGTGTGTCTTTGGGCTAAAAACCCAGACGACACGGGAACCTCAGACCCAACCAGCCCCGCAGCGGGTACACGGATGGCCTGAGTCCATGTCTTAACCGGCCCTGCTGGGCTCAGAGAACCACTGGGGCGTCTACAAAAGCAAAGCGTACAGCGACGTTCGTTTATTAGCACGAAGGAAGTTTTCTCTCGATGGTCACTTGGGGAGGGAACCGGAGAACCAGGCTCACACAGTGGCTCTTCCTCTGCAGGTCAGTGAGCATGACCACTGTAGTCCCTCACCCCCACGTCCACCTGGGACGCAGGTGGCTGCCTGGATGTTCACGCCTCCCTGTACATACACACATCGTGTTTGACACCTTTAGGATGTAGGTCAGACTTGAGAACTTTTAAAAGTGGGAAAAGCCCGGCCGGTGTGACTCAGAGATTTAGAGTCGACCTGTGAACCCCGAAGGTCACGGTTCGAGGTCAGGGCACATGCCTGGGTTGCAGGCTCCATTGCCAGTGAGGGACATGCAGGAGGCAGTCGATGCATGATTCTCTCATCATTAATGTTTCTATCTCTCCCTCTCCCTTCCTCTAAAATTAAAAAAGAAAAACCTAACCCTAACACGAAAACCTAACCCTAACTCTAACCTTAACCATAACTGTAAAATCTAACCCTAAAAGCTAACCCTAACCCTAATACTAAAACCTAACCCTAATGCTAAAACCTAACCGTAACCCTAACAGCTAACCCTCACCTTAACACTGAAACCTAACCCTAATGCTAAAACGTAACCCTAACCCTAACCTTAATGTGGAATCCTAACCCTAACCCTAACTCTAAAAGCTAACCCTAATACTAAAACCTAACCCTAATACTAAATCCTAATCCTAATGCTAAAACCTAACCCTAACCCTCACCTTAGCACTGAAACCTAACCCTAACCCTAATGCTAAAACTTAACCCTAACCCTAACCTTAACGCTGAAACCTAACCCTAACCCTAAAACCTAACCCAGTGGTTCTCAACCTTCTGGCCCTTTAAATACAGTTCCTCATGTTGTGACCCAACCATAAAATTATTTTCGTTGCTACTTCATAACTGTAATGTTGCTGCTGTGATGAATCATAATGTAAATATCTGATATGCAGGATGCTCTTAGGCGACCCCTGTGAAAGGGTCGTTGGACCAACAAAGGGTTCACGACTCACAGGTTGAGAACTGCTGACCTAACCCTAATGCTAAAATTGAACCCTAACCCAAACCTTAACGTTGAATCCTAACCCTAACCCCAACTCTAAAGCTAATCCTAACCCTAATGTTAAAATTTAACCGTAACCCTAACAGCTAACACCTTAATGTGTGAGCCACGTCCTGCGAGGTTCAGGGTTCGGGATCTGGAGGAGGGCTGTGCAAATGACAGAGACGGGACAAGAAATAATAATTTGGAAATTGGGAGGCCAGGTGGAAAGTCCAATGCAAGGGGAAGGACTGCCACGGGTGCCCAGGCCTTGCCAACCTTTTATCCAATTTTGGATACACATCTAGCTCTTAGGCAGGCAATTCTGGTAACAGACAATCTTAAAGGTCAGTAAACATTAGAAAGATTTACTCGGAGACTATTTGGTCAGGAAATTGCTTGAGCCCCCATTGTCTCGACTGAACAATCGGTGTATAGCTCTGGCCCTTGCCAGGGCTCAAGGTTCACCAGCTTTCGGGCTCTTCGTTAACATTCTCTGATAGTGAAGACAATGGGTGGCTTCCAACACCTTAACACGGAAATCTAACCCTAACGCTAAAAGCGAACCCTGACCCTAACAGTAAAGCCTAACCCTTCACTGTTTTCACCCAGCCACCCTCCCCCTTCCCTCTGGCAGCCATCAGTCTGTTCTCTGCCTATGAGGTTTTTTTGTTTTGTTTTCATTTTTTCCTTGGATTCCACCGAATCCACAGTGTTGTTCTCCCACTCATTTCACTCGGTGTAATACCCCAGGTGCACCCATGCTCCCAAGTGTAGGGTTTCACGCTTTCCTGTCGCTGTCACATTCCATTGTCTGTGGCACCACATCCGCAGGCCCAATGGGGCAGGTGTCATTCAGGGGCAGCTCTGAAGTCAGAGCTGGAGGCGGGGATCAGCCGGAGGTCAGCAGCTGTGGGACAGGCTGTGCAGGGCCTGGAAGACCCGGGAGGGGGCTGGGGACTGGCCTCTCCCTCCCCCACGCCCCTCCCCCGGCCTCGAGACAGCCCCGCTAACACAGCAAATGGTGCTTGGTGACAACCTCACACTTTTTAAAATATATATATTTTATTAATATTTTACAGAGAGGAAGGGAGAGGGACAGAGAGTTAGAAACATCGATGAGAGAGAAACATTTACCAGCTCCCTCCTGCACACCTCCTACTGGGGATGTGCCCGCAACCAAGGTACACGCCCTTGACCAGAATTGAACCTGGGACCTTTCAGTCCACAGGCCAATGCTCTATCCACTGAGCTAAACCGGTCAGGGCACAACCTCACACTTTTAAAAAAAAATTTTATTCTTTTTTAAGAAGGAAGGAAGGCAGGTGGGAGGGTCAGGGAAATCTTCCTAGAAAAGATGACCTCAGACTCTAGTCTTTTTTTAAATAGATTTTTATTTATTTCAGAGAGGGAGGGAGGGAGAGGGAGCGAGAGACAAACATCAATGATAAAAGAGAATCATTGATCGGCTGCCTCCTGCAGGTCCCCACTGGAATCAAACCGTGACCTGGTTCATAGGTGATGCTCAACCACTGAGCCACGCCGGCCGGACCAACCTCCATACTCTACAGGGGGGTCAGGCGGAGGGCTTGGTCCAGAGCACAGAGAGCCGGCCACTGAGCCGGGTCCCTGGGGGCTGACGAGCGGCTGTGGTGCATCCTGGTCCCGGTCCCCTGGCCTCTGAACAGGACACTCAGCATCCTGACAGCCGTGCTACCACACACCCCGAAGGGAACCGTTTACAGCTGTGCTGACACGGCAGAAGCATAAGCCCCCGCTTACTGTTTAGATTCAGAAATACTCGAGCCACGAGCTATATGAGCACCTACTGTGCGAGCTGGGCAACGGGGCCGTCCCCCCTGCCCCCCGTCCAGGGGAGACCTGCCCGGCCACCACGCCGGCGCCCAGCACCAGGGAGGCTTGGAAGGAAACAAACTGTCACTATTAACCCCCCAAAGTCACTATAGAAAATCTAACAGAATCATTTGTAAAGCTATTATTAGGATTAGTAACTGAATGTATCAGGATTTTTGGAGATAAAGTCAACACCCAAAATTCAATTGCTTTTCTATATACAAACAACACACAACTAGGGAGTAAATTTTTTTAGTGTTTACAACAGCAGAACAATAAGTCAGAAAAATGTGCAAAACCTTTAGAAAAGAGTACCCTATACAATAAAAGGCTAATATGCAAATTGTCCCCTCGGGAGTTCGACCGCTCGCTATGATGTGAGCTGACCACCAGGGGGCAGCATGGAACATAGGGAGGGGGCCGGTCGGCATCTGGAAGGCCCCGATCAGCCAGGCCTAGGGACGCTACCCGTGCATGAATTTCGTGCACTGGCCTCTAGTAAACATTATAAAGAAGTAAAAAATAAATGCAGAAACACTTCATGCTTGTGAATGGGAGGATTAAAGTCGTTAAAAATGAACCCGACTTGAGGACTTGGGGGCAGTGACCATCTGTGTGGACGTGGGCTGAGCCGGGCACTGGCCTCGCTTGGTACCTGCGACTCTTCCGTGGGTCCGGAGGCTTTCCTGGGGGGTGAGCGTGGACCCGCCTCCCGGGGAGCAGCTGCAGCGAAGGGACCAGGCCCCCTGTCGGCCCCCAGGCTCAGTGCTACCCCGGGGTAGCCGTCTGCTCTTGCCTCCTGGCCCCCAGCTGACCCAGGCGCTGACCCAGCGGTGTTTAATCTGCGGACAAGGAGGTGCGGCCGTGGCTGCTGCCCGTGAGCTGTCCCCGCCTGGCTGGTCGGTTTTCCACCTGCAGCCGGAGGAGAGGAGCCTCGGAGAATCTGGGAGGAACCGGCCGAGCAGCCCCGGGGGCCAGGCTGATCCTCAACTCCAGCTGCTCCCACAGCAACGCAACACCAGACCCCAGGCTCCCAGGTGCACGCCTCCTCCTCCCACAGAGAAGTGCCCATGGCAACCGGCCCCGGTGGAAGGTTCCTAGAAGACTGTGCTGGGACTGGACACCCTCTCCGGTTCTTGGACTCTGCGGGCCACCAACATCCTGTGGCACAAAGGGGACCCTTGTGGCCTTAACGGCAGGAAGTCGGACTTCCCGGGACATGCGCCCGCCCAGAGGAAGCACCGGTCAGCATCAGGAGACGCCCCGGCCGTGCTGTGAGGGCGGAGGCCACGCACACAGAGGACACACACAGAGGACATGCACACAGAGGCCACACACACAGAGGCCACGCACAGAGGCCACACACACAGAGGCCACGCACACAGAGGACATGCACACAGAGGACACACACAGAGGACATGCACACAGAGGCCACACACACAGAGGCCACGCACAGAGGCCATGCACACAGATGCCATGCACACAGAGGCCACACACACAGAGGCCATGCACACAGAGGCCACGCACACAGAGGACACACACACAAAGCACCGGTCAGCATCAGGAGACGCCCCGGCGGTGCTGTGAGGGCGGAGGCCACACACACAGAAGCCACGCACACAGAGGCCACACACACAGAGGCCACACACAGAGGACATGCACACAGAGGACACACACAGGAAGCACCGGTCAGCATCAGGAGACGCCCCGGCCGTGCTGTGAGGGCGGAGGCCACGCACACAGAGGACACACACAGAGGACATGCACACAGAGGCCACACACACAGAGGCCACGCACACAGAGGACACACACACAGAGGACACACACACAGAGGACACACACACAGAGGCCACGCACAGAGGCCATGCACACAGATGCCATGCACACAGAGGCCACACACACAGAGGCCAC